CTCAGTTAATCTTATCCTAAATAACCCAGGAAGGGAAGCGTGGAGGGGAGAAGAAGAGGGGGAGGGAAAATAATCTTCTAACATTCTATATCCAAATGAATCCAGTTTAGAATGGACTGTTTCCACTAGCTTCCTCCATTAAAATATCAGTAACAACAATTCTTAAAACATGTAATTGCAACACTTTAATTTGAATTTCTCAATACTCAATATTTCTTTGGTCGTTTTCATTTTGTAAATGTTTCCTCTTGTCCATATTTGACTCTTCAGAAGCCAGAAGGAAGGATTCTACTTGGCGTGCCATGGCGTAGTAGAGTATTACACAGGGCCTATATTTCCCATCCTGAAAAGTACAAACTTAAGTTTTTGCCACTAGAGTGGAGGCCATTGTCAAATTGTAATTTTTAAAAACTTAGAAACATGATTCATACAAAGTGAACCTGTGGCAAAGATTTATTGAACACACAATGAAGGAGCAAGCTAAATAGTAAAAATTATAAAAATCTTGGAAATAGGACAATAAAACCACAATCTCCAGGGGTAGTTTTTCTCCCAGTCAGAAGAAAATTTGCATCTCAATTAGACAAAAAAATGTAACTGCACAGCCTGGGCCCTAATCAATAATATATAAAGTAAAAATATCGATAATTAATTCATCCTCAGGTGGACTTGTTATACAAGGCTCCATTTTGACTTTGAAAAGACATAGCTATCCTTTTTGCCTTTCCTGAAATGTTTTTCTCTAATAATAAACGTTTCCATAAATCAGTTTACTATTCCTGTATCCCACCTCCTACCCTTCGGGATTCCAGTTACTATGAGTACATAGGTTACCTGGGAGGGAAAAAAATGGTTATATTAGGTTATTCCTCCTGGTAGTGAATCTGAAACCCCTTCAATTTGAGTGGGACAGGGCCATTGAAATCGCCAGTAATTTAATATCCACTGTTTCAAGGTTACACGGATAAAGACTTGCTATCCCTGTGCAGGCTTTCAACACATGGCAGTAACTACCTACATCGAAAGTGAGGTCCCGGTCGTGGCCCAGGAGTGCGCGTGGCAGAGCCAGACCCCCGGGGGAGGAGGGACACGGCCCCCTCCACTCTAACCCCGACCACCGCAGCTGGTCGCCCGGAGCTGCGGCTCCGGCGCGACAGCCGGGACCAGGCCTGCGGTTCACGGTTAGCGCCCCTTTACCCGGCCTTTTGTTCAAGGCTGGGCTGCTTCCCGCCCACCCGCAGCCGCCCTTCCTCCCCGTCCCAGGAGGGGAGCGAGGGCCGTGCGCGAAGCAGGGCCGGCAAAGGCTGTGGAGTCCTCCCCCCGCTCCGCTTGGCCCCTGCCCCCGCAGCCCAGCCCGGCGGGGGCGGGGCGACGGGGCTGGGGGAAGGGAGCCGGGGAGAGGTCCCCAGCGCGGGGCGAGCTACCGCCCCGCCCGCGCCCCCAGGGAGGAGAGGGATGGGCTCCTGGAGGCCACCCGGGCAACGGCGCCGGAGTGGAGCCAGCGCACCGACGCCCACCGCGGGAGGAGCCCGGCCCCGCCCCCGGCCGCCGCCGCGGGCAACCGAGTCGGAGCATGCGCACTGCGCCTCCCGCGCCCCGTGGGGCCTGGCTTGCGCAAGCGGCTGACGCCTAGTGCCCAGTTTCTGGCGAGGGTGTGACCTCCTTGCTGCGAGCGAACTCAGCTGCCAAGTCCCCGCCCCTCACCTTACAGGCGGGCCCCGGGAACCAAAGGGTGTTGGTAACCGCTGCTCAGCACAAAGGCAGCCCTCAGGAGGGAGGCGCGGGGAGGGAGCCGAAACCTAGGGGGAGGGGGTGCTAGCGGTTTCAAGGGCCTATGCACACTCCTCCAACAAATAGCAAAATATCTGGAAAATAAAAGTGACCAATGGAGAAAGGGTAGAGCTAGAACAGGGCTGAGCTATGCAGTGCCTCTAGCATCTCTGTAAGAGGTTAGAGAACCACGCTGGCTAACACACGCACACTGCAAAATTGTAAACACAATTAAGCACAAGCACGATTCCTCTTTAAAACTAAAGGGCCAAACTAAAGGACCCAATAGAGGTTAGGAATTTGGAAATTGATAATAGTACCATCTGTGACACACATCTCAGAAGAAAATCTAGCAGCAGAATTAAACCTAGGGAAACGGTGAGATAAAGAAAAGGCTAGAGAAAGATGTGGGAATATTAAAAGCGATTGAATTGAAATATGGAAAATGCAACAGCAGACATCTGAGGGAAAACTAGCATCTGCTCCTTTTAACACAACAATTAAATTTGTGTGAAAAGAAAAGGGTAAGCACAGGCAGAGAAGTGAAAGGAAAACCTGCCTTCAAATGTACGAGGCATGTTTTGATCTTATACAAGTTATGTAAAAGCCACCGCTGGAGAAAGCTAGAAGATGAGTGTAAGGAACTCTAACGTACTATTTTTGCACTTTTCTGTGAGTCTATAATTATTCCAAAATAAAGTCTTAAAAAGGGACAATACTAATCAGTGGTGACCAGGGGAAAGGGCTGACTAAAACGAAGCTTGAGGGAATTGGGGGGGGGGGAACGGAACTGTTCTATATCTTAATTGTGTTAGTGATTACACCACTGTTTTTTTTTTTTTACCAAAGCTCATAAAAGGGATAGATTTTCCTGAATGTAAAATAGTTCAAAACCTTTTTTAAAAAATGCTATTAGTAAAGATGAATTTCCTATCATGTTGCAGCAACTATGGATATAGACATTTTGCTATAAATATGGAAATAAAAATTGTGTTCCATGACTATAATTCTATATCACATTCTTTAGCTTAGAGTGTTAACGATGTGGTTCTGGGCAAAGATATGCTAACAGCCAACTTCTGCTTCTGTAATCTGCTTGCTTGTTTGGTGTTAACTAGGGTGTGGTTAATCTGTTTACTTGTTTGATGTTAAACCAGGGTGTGGTTCTAGGCTTTATGAGCTGCCTCTTTTGGGAGCTCAGGGCTGATCTCCTCTAACCCTGCATGGTAGAGAGTCAGTCGCCAGCTGGCTAATAAAGGCTCATAATTCATCTCAATTCGCTCCGTGGGTCTTAGAATTGATCGCGCCATAACATTTGGAGGCCCCAGCGAGATCCTCCCCAGAGAGAGAAGGGGAGTTTTCTCTGAGTCCCACAACCCTAGTCGCTCTGGGCGGGGCATGACCGCGTCCAGGGGTCGGCCGCTGAGAGATGTTCCTCAGCCCTGGACGTCGGACGGCCCTAGATCGGCGAGATCAGTGGACAAACATTTCTGAAAATTGGACGCAAGCTTTCTGATCCAGTCTCACTGGTGAGTTAGTCTAAGAGTCCTCTTAGACCTGTTTTTGTCTGTGGACCCTAAGAACTAGTGGAAGGCTAGACGCAGCACAACTTCCCTAGTACTCAGGTCTGAGACATCAGACCCTGACCCAGTACCTGTTTCGGTTTCGGTTTCTGATACGCTAGCATTTTGTGTTACCTGTAGTCTGTTTTGTCTGTCTGTATTGTGTATGTTTGTCCGGACCGGTCGAATGTACTGTTACCCTCCTATTGCCTTGGTCCTCATAAGTTTACTTACTTTGGTTTCCGTCAAGTTTATCTCATTGTCTGATCGTTCTGGTCTCTGAATGTCTCTTGTGATTTTTCTTGTTATTCTTTTTTGTTCATTAATTCTTCTTTATGCAGGGTTTCTTGCTGCTACAGCACCGCCCAAGTGGCTACCTAGTCACCGAGTGGACCTTGTCTAACATTCTTATCCTTCACAGGACTTTTATTCTCATTCACGTCCATCCTCGTCACTATGGGACAAGCTTCTTCTAAGCCCACTCCCTTGGTGCCTTGTGGACAATTTTAAGGATTTCAGGCGACAGGCCCGAGGTTATGGGTCAACAGTCACTCGGTTCGATCTCCAGAGGCTCTGCCAAGTAGACTGGCCGGCCTTCGGAGTTGGATGGCCATCTGAGGGTTCCTTTGATTTGCAGACGGCCTTCAGAGTCAGAAGTGTTGTTTATGGGAATCCTGGTCACCCTGATCAGGCTCCATATATCAATGTGTGGGTCGATATCGTTTCTGATGCCCCCAAGTACTTAAAGGGCTGCCGCTGTGGTCAAGAGCCAAGGAGCACTCCGGCACCTCAGAAATCCCTTGAACCTGTTCTACAGGCACCTCCGGAGGATCTGGAGTTCCTCAATTCCCCTCCCTGTTGCTCTCCTGGTAACCCCTTTAGGCCTCCTGATTCTCGGGAGGCAGCCCCTCTTTGGAGCCCACCACACGCTCGGATGGGGGCTGTCTACTACCCTCCACAGGATCCTGACCCCCATCCCCGATTCGTCTCAACCTGCAGCTGTCCTGGCGCCTCTCCGAAAGATAGCCCCACCTGGGGGAGACACCCAGACCTCTTTTATGGTGTATGTCCCCTTTTCAACTAGTGATCTGTATAATTGGAAATCGCAAACTCCGGCCTTCTCAGAAAAATCCCAAGGCTTGACCTCCCTTTTAGAATCCATCTTTTCCACCCACCAACCCACGTGGGATGATTGCCAGCAGCTTTTACAGGTTTTGTTCACTACAGAGGAGAAGGAACGCATTCTAAGGGAAGCTGCAAGAGGGGTCTCGGACCCCACTGGGCAGCTCACCACTGACCCCGCATGGGTACAACTTGTATTTCCCAGCACCCGACCCAACTGGAATCCCAACACAGATCAAGGGACGGAGGCTCTCCTGAGGTATCGCCAGTTGTTACTCCAAGGCCTCCGGGCAGCGGCTCACCGACCAGTCAATTTATCCAAGGTAAGTGAGGTTATTCAGACTAAAGATGAGTCAGTCACCTGCAGCATTTTTAGAAAGGTTACTAGAATCTTATAGACTGTATACTCCCATTGACCCGGAGGACCCAAATAATCAGTGAGCCATTAATCTAGCCTTTGTTACTCAGTAGGCCCCAGATATCAGAAAGAAATTACAAAAACTAGAAGGGTTTGAGGGAGAGAACTTATCTAAGCTTCTCGAGATTGCCCAGAAGGTGTTCAACAACAGGGATGATGTCTAGAAGGTTATGTTTGTTGGACAGGATAAGTCACAGGGCCCACCCGGCCGGGACCGAGGCGAGGGCCAAGCCGACGCCCCGAGGGAAAGGCGGACCGGGGCCGGAGTAACTTAGAGAAGGACCAATGTGCATACTGTAAGAAGAAAGGACATTGGAAGAACGTGTGCCCCGAAAAGGGCCAGGGCCCAGGGCAAAAGTCCCCACTCATTATGTTGGAGGATGCAGAATGAGGAGGTCAGGGCTCCTACATTATGAGCCCCTGGGAGCCCAGGGTAACGTCGCAAGTCGGGGACCAACCTGTAAACTTTTTAGTGGATACAGAGGTTACTTACTCAGTTTTGCAGAATACCCAAGGCCCCCTATCTAAAGAAAAGACTTTACTACAAGGAGCCACAGGACAAGGGAAATCTTACCCTTGGACCCAGGCCAGAATTACCGACGTAGGAAAAGGGACCATCACTCATTCGTTCCTGGTTATGCCTGAATGCCCGTACCCCTTGCTGGGGAGAGACTTACTACAAAAATTACGGGCCACCATCTCTTTTAAGGAAGGACACACTGAACTAACTCTGGGGGCCACACCATCTGCAATAATGCTCACCTGCCCCTCTCTGAAGAATACCTTTAATTGGAGGAGCCTGTTTTTGATCCTTCCCCTAATGCATCACTGTTAAAAGAACTGCAGTGCAGGATCCCTTGGATGTGGGCTGAGACTAACCCACCCGGATTGGTAACCCATCAGGCTCCTATTGTGATCTTACTGAGTTCTGCCGAGCCCATCAGCATAAGGCAGTACCCCATCAGTCAGAAGGCTAAGTCTGGTATAGCAGTGCATATTCGGAAGCTCCTGAACGAAGGGATCTTAGTCCCCCTGTCATTCGCCTTGGAATACCCCACTGCTTCCAGTTCAGAAACCGGGTACCCAAGACTACAGGCCAGTACAGGACCTCAGAGAAGTAAATAAGCGGGTTGAAATTGGAATCCCCCGCTGCTTCCAGTTCAGAAACCGGGTACCCAAGACTACAGGCCAGTACGGGACCTCCGAGAAGTAAATAAGCGGGTTGAGACCATACATCCCACTGTTCCCAGCCTGTACACCCTTCTGAGCCAACTGCCACCTAGGCACCAGGTGTACACCATCCTTGATTTAAAGGACGCTTTCTTCACTCTCCCCCTAGCAAAGGTGAGTCAACCAATATTTGCATTTGAATGGGAGGACCCTGATAGACTGTATTTGGAACAATTGACTTGGACTAGACTGCCATAGGGATTTAAAACTCCCCCACATTGTTTGACAAGGCCCTGAGGCGGGACCTCGTTGACTTAAATCAGAGACATCCAGAGACTGTTCTTCTACAATATGTGGATGATTTACTCTTAGCCGCTACGACAGATGTAGAATGTAAGCGGGCCACTGAAGATTTATTACAAGAATTGGAGGCTAAGGGATACCGGGTGTCCGCTAAGAAAGCTCAACTCTGCACCTCCCAGGCAATGTATTTAGGATATAAGCTGCAAGGAGGCCGTTTTAAAAATACCCAACCCACCACCAAGCGGCAGGTCCGAGAGTTTCTCAGGGCCGTAGGCTACTGCAGGCTCTGGATCCCAGGGTGTGCAGAGTTAGCCAAGCCCCCGTATGCCAGCACTGGGGGAAAGTCTGAGGACTTGCACTGGGGGAAAGAAGAAAAAGAGTCCTTTGAGGCCCTAAAAACAGCCTTGACCACAGCCCCTGCTTTGGCTCTGCCTACTTTAGACAAGCCGTTCCAACTCTTTGTGACTGAAACTAGAGGCATAGCAAAGAGGGTCCTCGCCCAGACTTTAGGACCATAGAAGAGACCTGTTGCATACCTCTCCAAAAGACTGGACTGTGTTGCAGCCGGGTGGCCTAATTGCTTGCGGGCCATTGCGGCCACGGCCATCCTCACCAAAGAAGCCCTGAAGTTGACTATAGGGCAGAC